AGCCAGGCATATCTACTGGCAGCCAGGATGCTCGGCAGTTCTTTAGCCTGGCCCCATTACCTGTCAGAGCCAGTGACTGGACTGATTGGCCCATGTGACCTGAGAGACGGTGGGGGGGCGGGTATCCTATTCTTTTTACTATCCCTATGTGTGGGAAATAGAGGGATGCGGTGGCTCAGTGGCTAAGACACAGAGCTTGTCAGTGAGAAAGGTAGGCAGTTTGGCGGTTCGAATCCCTAGCGCTGCGTAACAGAGTGAGCTCCCATCACTTGTCCCAGGTTCAGCCAGCTTAGCAGTTCAAAAGTACAAAGAAAATGCAAGTAGAAAAATAGGGACCACTTTGGTGGGAAGGTAACAGCATTCAGTGCCCCTTCAGTGTTTAGTCATGCTGGCCACATGACCACGGAGACTTCTTCTGACAGTGCTGGCTCTTTGGCTTTGAAACGAAGATGAGCACTGCTCCCTAGAGTTGGGAACGACTAGCACATATGTGCGAGGGGAACCCTTACATTTATCTATGCACGGGACTAATTTAGAGCTAGCCTCATCTTTCTGATATGATGTACTCAATAAAGGAATTCTTGAACCTGAGCCAAGCGTCAGAGTTATGACTTCCCAGAATTCATTACTCAGAACCATGACATTCTCCTTTAGCGGTACCATAAATTGAAAAGTGGGTTTCTGGTGACAGTGTGATTCAGGGAGGGTCCTGAGTTGTAGATTTAACAGCATTGCCAAAAAGGCATTAAGAGTTGTTAACCTAATTTCGTGAAGCTTCTTCTTCGGTAACATTGTACTGCTAACTAAGGCATACAAAACCTTTGCCAGACCTATCCTCAAATACAGCTCATCTGCCTGGAATCCACACTGTATATTGGACATTAATACAATTGAGGCTTCAGGGACCTTCAGGAGGCTTCCCTGACGGCTCCGAAGGGCAAAAAAACAACTCTACGAGCTTCCGGTTTGCTTGTAGGGTTGTTTTTTGCCCTCCGGAGCCTTCAGGGAAGCCTCCTGAATGCACCGGAGGGCTAAAACCGGCCCTACAAGCAAACCGGAACTGACCTCCTGTTTGCCTGTAGGGCCAATTTTTCGTGCTCCAAAAATGGCCTCAAAATAAGGCATGTTGGTCAGCTGACAGGGCATGCTCTGACAAATGGCTCGACGTGCCACCTGTGGCGTGCATGCCATAGGTTCACCATCAGAGGTTTAGAGTGACAGGAAGAAAGGGAGAGGGGGAGAGGGAAAGAAAGGAAAGGGAAAGGGAGGAATGAAAACGGAAGTAGAAAGAAAGAGAGAGAGAAAGGAGGGAAGAAAGGAGGAAAGAAAGAAGGAAACAAGGAAAACAGGAAAGGAAGGAGGAAAGGATGAAAAGAAAGAAACAAAGAAAGAAGAAAGAAAGAAGGAAGGATGGAAGGAAGGAAAGAAAGAGGGAGGGAGGGAGGAAAGAAGGAATATAGGGAGGGAGGGAGGCAAGGAAGGAAAGGAAGGAAGGAAATGAGGAAGGGAAAGAAAAGAAAGAAAGAAAAGATAGATAGATAGATAGATAGATAGATAGATAGATAGATAGATAGATAGATAGATAGAT